ATATAGTATAGTATAGTTGACGCCCACAAAAAGTCTGGGCATAAACCAGAGCAAACGTCGAGGCTGTTGTGTGCTGGGAAATAAATATGAAAATGGGCTGACAACAACAAATTTATATATATTTACATTTATTTTGTGTGGTGGCTCTTTTAAATTTATGGGTTTATTGATACTCGGGGCCAGAGGAGGGGCTCCGAAAAATTTGCTTTATCAGCGTGTCAAGCGAGGAGGGCGAGCAAGAAAAGCCCCAACCGCAATCTGTAAAAACGTTCTCAACAAAATGATTTAGCTTTCTATCTGTACCTCTGTCTGTCCGGACTCTCATTCTCCACCCCAATCTCTCTCAGTGTTTTGAACAATTCTGCCTAGTCGAGCAAAAATATGTCAAAACAAATTGTCTAAGATGGGGCATCGAACAGGCAGGGAGAAATATGTATGTATGCATCGGTATATGCGATAATGAAAACGCTTCTTTTTTATTTCAATTTTCTTTGCTGTGTGTGGAATTAAAGGCAAATAAATTGAGGAAAATTCATAATTCGTGTATATTTATTTGCTTACTAATTGGTCTTCTCAGTGGCCAGTTTGTTCGCTTTAAAATGAAATTCGTGTGTCATTTTGCAAATAAATTCCCAGTTCGACACGCCCAACAGCATTTAGTTCATCGAACTCTGGCCTGAATTCTCGGAAAAGCACCTTCACCTGGCCAAAAACACTTGTGCGTAATCCTCCAGTTCGCACCATTTAGTGGCCATTTGATTTTGCATATCAATTAACGAGAGCTAGCTGCCTCGGGGGCAGCAGTATTTTCGGTCTGTTCGGCTAATCAGAGTTGATGGCGATACGACGATTAATTAAAGTCTCAAGTCTCTGAATGGCTCGTTTAGGGTTTCGACCTTGCTGAAGCCTAGACAAAAAGATCATTAGTTAGAGCATCAAATAAAACTGTTTGATTACCCATAATTATGGCTTACCGAAAAGGCCAAGAGGGGGGCAGGGGGTAGGGGGGTAGGGGGTAAACTTTTTGTCGCCCTCCGATTTGATGCCTTCATTAGGAGCCAGAACGAAGCAGACAACGTGGTGCTTATGTTGATGCCAGGCGGCGTGCCACACGGCGTATGCATAATCATATAATTAATTGCCATAAATGTTAATTGCGCATACGCCACGTTGTCAGAATTTATCCTTTTAATAAAAGGGGTTCCTACGCCTCCACCCCAGCCAGTGTCTGTGTCCTTTGTCCCGAAACTTTTGCCAGTTAATTAAGCAAATATTTTCTGGTTCTTTCCGTGTTTACCCAGTTAATTTCTGTTAAGTTTCGTTGACATGTTCCTTGTTTACTTATAAGCTAGTTTGGCTGCTACAAATTAACTCGCCTCCTGTTAAAGTTCCTGTGGTTAAAGTTGGCCCTAGAAAGTTCATCAACTTATTGGATTAGTCAGGTGTTTGGAGACGAATTAATGGGATTATTAATGAAGAACTAGAAAAGTTTGGGGCAAACTTTAGTAAACTTTTACACTCTAGGACTTTAATTATTATTTTATTCTATTAAAAAAGTCTTCCCAGTCAAGACATAACCAGCGATTAAAGCCTTAAATGTCTCTCATTTGAATTTCAAGCTCTTGAAATTACGTTTTCAACTTTGCACTTCCTCAATGAATCTGTGAATTTCATAATGCTATGAAAGTAATGCTCATACCAGGAAGCAATCTTTGAAAATAACCAGTACTTTAGTCCCATTTTCAGTCTTGTCTATGAGCTTCGACTTCGTTGTTGTTGGTTTAACCCAAATAATTTTCGAGTCAAGCAAACAGAAAATCAACAAACAAACAAACAAACAGGCAAACAAGCAAACCCAGGCCAAACAAACAAAATGTACAACAAATCAGCAAAAACTCGAATGTAAGTAAAATCAATAATAAGTTTCTTGTGCCAGAGAGGGGTGATGTGACGCCTCCATAGAGTAGATGTTACCCCTTTCTATGGCCATATTTATCTATCAATCGATAAGTTCGAAACCCTTTAAAGCGAGAGAGTGAAATTTTTCCAATGCGAACTAATCAAACTGTTTGCTTTTAATCAGGTTTCACAACATTTATCTAATGTGTGCTCATGTCGGGCTAATTAATGGGTTAAGGCGGTCGCCTCGCAGTTCATTTGAATATTTAACGACGACGGCGGCGTCCGTCTCCAAAGGGGCGTGGCCCCTCTGGGGGCGCCACCTGTCCAACAAAATTATTAATCAATTATGCAAAGTTCTCTGGGGTAAACTCCGCATTCAACGGAGCACATCAGCTGTTGAAATTTCTGAAATTCGTTGGACTCTCCTCACCTTGACGAAAGGCGGCTACAAAGTGAAGTCATTAGTTGGGGCCAAGATTCAGTTTTGAATGGCATTTGGCGAAAACAAGTTTCGCTCTTTGTGAGCAATCAGCACGTAAATGTGAAGCGTAACAAAACGCTTCAAAGGTAAATAAATAAATAACTATAAATTTGTGAGAAAAAATGGAAAAAAACGGAAAGTTGAATGCAAATGCGACTTTAACATTGTTTTTTTTTCGCTAGAAGGTTGTGAGAGAATCTGTATGATGTAATTTTTGGTGACTAACTAAAGTTAGAGTAATACTTGTTTCCACAACTTACGGGCTTGAGACATTGTTTCGTAAAAAAATAAGTTATAAAGAAAGGAAACTTTATGCTTATTTCCCCATGTGTACTTAGACCCTGCAATAAAGGCAATTAAAGCCAAAGCCAAAGGCGAGCTTAAAGTGTCTCCGAAGTCAAGCATAAATGTGCTAAGAGTAGGGAGTGTGGGCCCCAGAACAGGAACAGGGAATGTCTAGAACTTATGGGGAGTGAGAGACGCCCATGTACATATACTGCGCCATGTGAAATAAAATGCTAAAGTTATTCATTTTGCAAATAAGCAGAGTAAATATTTAATTAACAACTCTGCAGGCAAACAAAAGCCGGGGAGAGAGACACACACACACACACGGGAGGGTGATGTGTTGCGGGTCTAAGGTTTCCTCCTCCTCGTCGAGGGTAATATAATATTTATTTATATGCCGCACAGTCAAAGTCACCTACAGAACGCGACGAGACGACAGCGGCGATGACGACGCCCTAGAAATTGCCGCAAATTTTATGTTTCTGTCTCAGTTCCGCCGCTCTTCCTTCTCCCTCTATGTTACGTGTGAGTCAATGACATTTAAGGGGAAACAAAAAAAAAAAACAAAAAACTTCTGTCACTTCCTCATAGAGGCCATTGGGGTGAAGGTATGCGACATAAGCTTAATCTAGTAAAATTCGTTTGGGTTTGGTTTATATTTATGATAGTGTTTGTGTTTTAAAATGGCGTTATTATCATGTAAATTACTGAAAAACTTTATTAAGTTAAAGCCCTTCCTCTTGATTAACTTGTAAAATTATAATTACTATATTCTTATAGATGAAAATATGTCGAAATAATAATTTTAAATAGGTTTGTGAAGCATTTTCCATGCATGGAAATTGTAGAAAAAGTTGTGTGTTTGTTTTATATTATATTTTAAATTATTTTCCATTTCGATTCATTTAATTATATTTGCAAAATTGTTTAAAGAACACAATCCATTTACTCTCCTAACAAAGTTGTGCTGAAATGCTAAGTTTTATACTAGAAGCTCTCAAAGCCTTTGCTCTCAGGCCAACCGTAATTAAGCTGCATTTATTGTCCCCAAAATGTATGTTTGTTTCATTAAATATTTTGTGAGTTCATATCCACACACATTTCGCACACCTTTCGTGCCGTGCCGTGCCGTTTGTTGTGCCATAGTGGTGTGTGGGTATGCGTGTGGCATTATTAAACATTGTCTCGCTTCAAGTCTGATTTCATTTGGCGCGTCTAACTAACCAAAGGAGCCCAGACAGGGCCTAAATGGCTTACTCCCCCCGAAAACCTGAACTAATTAAATTACTGTAGTCTGTGCAGAAAAAGGTTTTTCTTGTCGCTTGGCCTTTAATTGCTTTTGCAATGAATCTTTAAAGCTGAACTCTGCTCTCTGAGAGAGAGGAAAATTAAGCAATTAATGGAAAATTTGTTTATGGTTCCGCCGGGGCAAGAATACGCTCACATGAGGTGGCAAGCCTGGCAGGAAAAAGAAACAGGAAAAGTGTTGGGCTTTCATCATTGTTTCAATGTTTTATGAGTGCTCGTAAAAGGACGGAAAATATTCTTCGTATTGCCTTTCTTTTTTGCCTTCCTTGGAGGATTGGGGCTAAGCTATTAAAATGTCATCATGGTGGAAAACCAAGCGAACTGTGAGCACGATAAGTCAGCGCACACGCAATTCTTGGCCCGATTTTATCGACTTGGGCAGAGAGAGAGAGCGATTCCTGGGCGTATTTATTATTTAACACCTAGAAACCTAAGCGGGAAATGGCTATAAAATTGTTGACCTTTTTTTTCCCCTCCACTTCTTAAGACTTTTTTCCATTCTATATTTTTGGCACACGCATATCGCAAGAGTTTCCCAGGCCCAGTCCCAGACCCAGACCCATCTTGGGTGGTCCAAAGTCGTCGCTTTTATGGGCCCGGCGGTACTCCAGTTATTTTTACGATTCGAGAGCACACACAGCATAGGTTAAAATATTTAAAAGTGCGCTTAATTATGCCCGCAAAAAAACGAAGAGGAAGTAAACTTTGCATTAATGCCCGAAAACTGCCAGAAAGGCACACGGCACATTGGGTAATAAAGTTTATTTTTTGCCTTGTGCTCTCCAAGGGCAATCAACGGATTGGCATGGCGTGCAGAATGATTCCAGGTGGGCGGGATTCCCAGAAAAATGGATTTGAACGAGCGCTTAAGCGAAATTTCTAACCTTTTCCTTGTTTATTTGGTTTTCTATTTCACAGTTATTAATATAGGAAAATAATAGAGTTATAAAGAATACATTCTAAGGTTTATAAGAAATATTTTCAAAGTAACTTACCCCTTTCTTCTATTTATTTCTTCCAGATACCACAACCTGTTGCATAAATAAGGGTAAGTTAAACCAAAAACTCAATTCCCAGTCGATATAATGGCATTTCGGCTGTCCAAAAACAGTTGCTTGACACCTTTTCCCGGGGAATGAAACGGAATACTCGTATTCCTGGCCACCGATCATGGCCAAATACTTCATGTGGCAACATGACAGGCGGCCGAGTGCCTGGGATCGCTGCACACAATATACAAATTCTGCAAGTGCAGTTAGACTCGGGCTCAGGTGATATATCTCACGACTCACGAAACTAGTTTACGCAACATGTGGCAACTTTGCATGCCACAGGCCCGAGGACGTGCCACACAGTCGGGGCAGAAATGGGGGGCAAAAAAAAAAGAAACCGAAACGAAAAATTGACATTTTGACATGCGGCCTGTACCGGGCGGTACTTCAAGATTCGCCTCCGATAAACTACAAATGGCTGCACACTCGGCGGAGCCGGAGGAGACCGGTTCGCCGGCAATCCGTAAAGTGTCTTTTAAATACAAATGTTATCTGCCGAGAAGCGGCAAGAAGTCCAAACGGCGCAGCGTACGTGCCACATTTGTTGTTGTCGCTGCAACGATTTTTAATGGATTGACGGCGGACAACGAATGCACATTAGAAATGCAGTCCTGGACCACGTCCAGCTCGGAATCCCAATCCCAATCCGAATCCGAATCGCGGGTCTCCCGAGTCATGCACACACATGGGTCCCAGCCATGTTCCTGTCTGCATGCTGCATACTGCATACTATTTTCCCATCGCAGCCCACTTGCCCCGCCCATCGGCCCGCCCCGGCTGCGTGTCGTGGAAAATGGTCTTGGCTACTGCAATTTTCCTTTTGGCTTTTGCATTTCAATAACTGGATGGGTCAGTGGCTGTGGAGTTTTGTTTGGCACGTACGGCATAAAGTATCTGTATCTGTGTATCCGTATCTGTATCTGTCTGGGCTATCGCTTGCCGCCTCCCTGCCACATCAATGTGGCAGCGGCGTGTGTGCGCCTTTTTTGAGTCCGGTGTCTGCATATATTTGCTTAAATTGCAGCGAGTGTTTGAGCTCTTTTCCACTCCAGATACACTCGATAAAGCAAACTTCGAATTGGGTTCAGGTTTTCGGTTGGCTAATTGGCGAGGCCATCCGAAAAGGTGGTTGAAATGATTGTCAGAGGGCGGAATGAGGTCGCTACTTAAGTAAGGGTGGGAATTAACACCTATATATACACTTTCTGTGTGATAAGCAAATTGTTACAAATATTTAAAATTATATCACAACCAAACGAATTGCTAAATTTAGTATTCATTGTTTAAATGCCGAACAACAGGTACATAATTCCCATTTAATTACCCAAACAGTCTGAATTAAAATACCAATAAATAGAAATTAAATCAGACACAATGCAAACATTTTTTCCCACACTTCTCGCCATTCTTTTAATTCCAGTTTGTTACACAATTTCCATTTAATTTGAACCTTTTCCGTCTACCCTTCCACATGATGCCCAAATATTTCCATTTCTCAGACACAGAATACTATCTGCTGGGAGGGGAAGGTCGAATGTGATCCGAATTTCCGTCATTTTATGGGCGCTAATAGAAACGACCTTCATCAAAATCGAATCAAACGAGCCAAATCGCCATTGACAAAATGCAAGTCAATATGTCAGGCGGCCAATCAACACCCGGGGGAATCGGGAATAAAAATCAAAGCGAAACCAGTCCGAGCTGTCATAAATTCTTCCGCTGGTGGTATAAATAAATAAATAGATATATAAAAGGGCTGCCGTTTGGCGTACGATTCATTTTCAAATTCAAATTAGCGACAAATCAAAAATGTGTCATCGGCAATGGCGATGAACAACTGACCGCTAAGGGACACACTCGGAGAAAAAGGGGGAGAGACTCTGAACATTCGCTCCTAGAGAACACACATAAAAGCCGAACAAAAGCCTTGTAAAACCGACTACCGACCGAGAGTCGGATAACAATCACGGGCCATAAAATGTGTTGAAAAAATATTTGCATACAGTCGTAAAAAAGAAGTTGCGATGCTGCTGCTGCAGGCCAGGAGGAGTCATTAAAACAAGCCAGCGACTATCAAAAACTAACTGGCCGGGCGACACTTTTTGTCCGCCAAAACCCGATAAACAAATGGGTAGCTTCAGGCATGATTATTACCGGAATTATTCAGTTCTCATGTACTAACGTTTTTTTTGCAAGTTAAATTAAACTAGGTCAACGTAATAAAAAGAATTATTTTTATTATCTTAACATGAATAAGGCGTTCGGCTTTCCATTAACTTTAACTATATGGATATTAAAATCAATGAAGCCTACAATGTACTATGGAAATTGATGGAAGAACTGAAATTTATTAAAAGTAACTAATATTATTTTATAGAAACAGCACAACTAAACTAGACTATATTATATTTATTTGTGTTAATTAACAAATGAATACTTCTCATATCTGTTTATCACTAGGTATCCACCAGTCTCTGTAATATCATTTACTCTTTTCCTACTTGTCTTTTTTTCAGTGTTTTTCTTGCTTTTTTTGTTGTATCTGTGCTCCGTCGTTTGGCTTGTAATTAAAACTTGTTGGCAGACTGTCAGGCAGCGAGTTAACAAGTCGGCGGCTTCACAGGCGGGGCAGCGATGAGCCGCGGAGCCGGAGAGTAGAGCCGGGGAGCGTGGGGATGAGCCGGCTGTGAGTTGGCGAAAATATTATTTAATTGTCAGGCCAGGCGCTAATTAAAGTCCAAACCCGGCCGCCAATTCTCTCGCCCCGTTTGGGCCATAAAGCCGAACACTTAACGATGAGGCGAGGGTCGCTCTACGAGTCGCCTCTTCAGCCCGATATTTATGTTTATTGACTGCTGCTGCTGCTGCTGGTGCTGCTTCTGCCAGCAACTGACATCATCATCAGCAGATGAGCAGCATCCGCGGAGGAGCGAGCCAAGTTAGTCATAACAGCGAGGCGAAGGTCTCCGTCTCCTAGTCTCCCTGCCTAGTGGAGATGTCAGCTCAAGTTATGGTAATTGCGGCAGATTATTTATTTATTTATGCACGTGGCAGGGGCCGCAGCCACAGCTAGAGCCAGAGCCACGTTTGTCGCCTGATTATGTGCTTATTTATAAGAGCCCAGGTACATAGAAGGATAAATGCGGGATATTCAGCGACTGCCGCTAATGAGATGCAAGCAAACGGCATCGCGCTGCATATGAATATCAATTACGGGGCGGTCCCTTCCGGCCGGATCAACATCATTGTGGCCGTAATCGTAGCTCAGAAGTGGGGTTTGGGATGGATGCCCATTTCCCATTTTCCGGGCTGAAAATTGAAGTGGCTAAACAGACGTCTAGACGCTAAGCGCGCATTGGTTCGGCGGTGGTCGTAACAAAGCTTTTAAGCCAAAATGTTTGGCCATTTGCATAGTAACAAAGGCCCAAAAGTGGCGGGAAGTGCGGCGATAGTGCAGAAAGCGAGCAGATAACTGATTTCAATGACTTTCGGGGGAAATATTACAAATTGCTGGATATTTTAAAGTTTGTAGTTAAAGCTTTTTGTAGAATATGTGATTTAAAAAGTTGATTCATTTAAATTATATTTAAAAATACAAGCCCTTAGTTTTATATTTTATGTGGGTTAAAGCGTACTGAACTTATTATTTAAAATTAATTTATTCTTCAATCTTATTTGCTTAAGTTTTATCAATAAAAACAAAACTTTCAAACCCTTTAAAATACAAGTTTAAAAGAGGATAGTTTTATTGAGCATTAGCCACCATTTCCTTGAACATCTCAAGGCTTAAGTGACATCAGCGCCATCAGCCATCAAACGTCAAGTCTTTTGGGTCATTTCGACACTTGACGCCCACGCCCATCACAGGGCATCGCGGATCCTTTGGCCTGCCCCCCCTTGGCCTCTCTCCCATCCTGCTTATTTACAACTTGACATTTCACTTGCGAGTCGCAGGGCACTTTAATGCGCTCCAATTGCATTTTATGACAGACAAAACTGACCTACTTAAGGCTCTCTCCCACGCAGAGTCACAGGCCACGCCCACTTGGGTCCTTGCTGCGGACTCTATCCTTATTTTTCCTTCTCTCAATCGCATTATAAATTTAATGTGTTTGACCTTTTTTCGCTCGGTGCTCGACCGCAATTTCAATAGATTGGCAAACTGAAATCTGAGGCCAGCGGAAATCGCCATAAAATTTAACTAAAATGTCCATAAGTAGCTCAAGTGTTTAAAGAGGGCGAGGGGGCGGATAATGTATTTGGGAGAGGGTGAAATTCCTGGGGTTTTCAGTAAGTAAAGGATCCACAAGTGGAGGAAGTAAATTTGCCACTTTTCCCTAGCTCTAAGATGCGCTTTACAGCTCCCTTTATCTCGGCTTGCTCTGTGGCCATGGGTTGTCGCCTTCTTCACGCCCGCTGCTCAGGGGCCATGGCCACGCCCACTGGCCACGGCCACCGCCACCGCCTCCGCCATTGTCAATATCCTGGCAGCCATTTCCTGCTTTGTTTTGCTGCAAAGGTCGAACACTTTTTGCCGCCACTGTTGTCCAGTCATGGGTAAATAAATAAAATAATAAAGACGTTTTTCCTTGCCGTCGTCCTGGCATTGAATAAAGCGCCGTCGACTAGAAGCAAAAACATTGAAAATTGTTTTCCCTTTCTGGGTTTTCCCCCGACTCCTTCCTTCCGTTTTCTCCTTTTTTGTTGCCACTTCTCCGAAGGCAGAACCTGTGGCACCCTTCCTTATTTTTGTTAAATTCCTCTCGCCTGTCATCTTTCTTTTGGCCAATGCTGCTCCTGCCGCTGCTGCTGCTGCATTTGAAGGACTTTTTGTGCTCGCCAAATGTTATTTCAATGCCTGGGCCACTTTTTTGCACCCCTACCGTATCTATATCTGGGGATTGTATTGAAATAAAAGTCCCGAGATGCGCTTCAATGATTTTTGGTTCGTGCAAATATTTTATTGACTATTATTCTGCCTGCTCTTCAGTTCCGTTCGGCCGGCCTTGTCCTTATTGTCCTGTGTGTGTGTGTGCGAGTCCTTCAGGGTCTCCGGCTATTTTCCTCACAAGGGTTTATTTTGGCTCTTCGGTGTTTTTATTTTTTTTTTCTGCCCGACACACATACATATTTTTGTTGCGCAATTTCGCATTTTGCCAGATAAATGTGAAAGGAAAGCTTAGGAAAAACACAAAACCGAATTTATTTTCTTAGAGCTGTTTGCTTGTGCAAATGGAGCAGGAAACTCAATAGGAAGGGAACGGGAAATTGCCAAATTATGAGGAAATTTATGACAGAATTTAAATAATGCGCCAGGCATAAAAGTTAAAGAGGTTTTTAGATGATTTCAACTTTAGTTTGCTCTTTGTACTTACATATATTTATTGTTATAGGAAGAAAAACTAAAATTGTTGCTTTATAAGAAGTTTATTTTAAATTTCTAGGGTTTATTAATTGTTGCTTCAGGATTCGTAAGGGTAGGGTATGCTGCCATAGGGTAGTCCGTAGTTTGGAACAACGTAAGGTGGACTGGAGTAAGGATATCCGTAGGTAGACTCCTTGGCCGCAGCTATTATGGCTATTAGGCACACGGTGACTATGATCGCGATGCACTTCATGTTGACGTAAAGGCAGTCTGAAGTGTTTCTAGCTTCTACCAGCGACTTTATATACTCTGAGCTTTGTAAAATTTATAAAAAATTGCATAGCTAAGCACTGATTAGGTATTTAGTTGAAATCCATTAATAGGGTTAAGATAACTAGAAAAGGGTCACTGAATTTCACAGAAATTAAAATGCAAAATAATCAAAAATAGAAGAAACAAGTAAAAATAGTAAAGCCATTAAATACAATAATGTAAGTCCAAGAAATTACTTAAAATAATTTATGATAACTTCACATTCGTTGCATAACTACGATGTAGTAGTCGGAAATTGACTTTTTTTGTGTCTCTGTGTCCCTTGGACGCTTAAATGTTCAAATGTGCAAGTCTTTATCTACAGTTTTATAGCATTTCCGAAATAAATATCGTGTTTCGGACCATTCCCCTTCTCTTCGACCCGTAAACTCGAATGAATGGCGGCAATTATAACATTTAGCACGCATTTCTGTTCAACTAACACACAGCTCATTTATCATCATGACGGCATGTCTATCTGTGCAGTGAGAAAAATATTCTTAAATACTATTTTCAAACAAAAATTAATAAAAATACTAATTAGAAAATCTAGCCATAGGTAACAGATTTTATTAAAACCCAATTAAATTATATTTCTAATTGCATGACTTTCTTATACAAGTAACTTTAATGTTAATAAATATTTTTGCCAGTGCCCGAGTATATATATATAACATTTTATATAAATGTGCATAGAAATGTCGAGATATTTTTCCAATACTAGCTGGCCTCTGTCTCTTTCTATTTTAATTGGCAGCCTCAAACGGCGCGAAACTAATGAAAAACTCATCATCAAAGAATAGAAAAAAAAACAAAGGAAAACAAAAGAAAAAAATCCAACTGAGGAAAAATGGATGAAATGAATGGCAGTGAGTTCGGCAAAACATGGCATTTTAAAGTCATTGCTACTAATTTTATGAGACTTTCCTTTTGGCACTTTTCCTTTTTTGCGACCGGGAGGGACTTCCCTTTGGCTCGCTTCTGTACTTCCGCTTCCCTTCTAACGCCAAATGATTATTGCAAGCCATAAAAGGAAAATGAAAATGAAACACAAATGGACGCAGCTGAAATGAAACCATCCTTGAAATCTATTGTCTGTCTGCCAGTCCAGACAATTGCAGGATAAAAACAAACAACGAAAAGCAGGAGCAGGAAAACAGCCGAAAAAAATAGCTAAATAAAAAGGAAAACAATATCGGGCCGGGCCGGGACCCTTAACATAATTGAAAAACATCAAAATGAAATGAAAATCAAAGTATCTGAGAGTATCTGTGTATCTGCCGGATGCGGAATGCAATTGCGCCGAGTATCTGCCGCTGACATCTTCAAATTTAAATACCTTTTATTTTATAAGCCCGAGCAGAGCATAAAAATCAGCATAAATATTTGTTGTTCTTCTCGCCATAATGACGGTGTCGATTTGCCCCCTCGGCACCGCCTCCCCATCCCTCCCCCGGCGACAGCAAATGAAATGAAAACATGCAAAACAATTAAAAACAAACAACAAAATGACCAATAACAACAACAGCAAGGCAGCAATAGCAGCTTGTTATTGAAAATCCACCGAAGGGGGAGGACTGGGGTGGACCTGCAGCGAGGGTGGGCCGGATTAAAACAACAAGAGCATGTCGAACACCTAGCCAAAGGTATACAACCCATCAACATCAACAGCAGCTACAGCTACAGCTACGGCTACAACAATGCAAAGCTACAACTCCATTTGCCGCACTGCAATGGTAAAATAAATAAATATTCATGTTGGAAATTTACTTGTAAACATGCAAATTGTAAAGCAGCCGCCAATGAAGGATATCCCCGTGCAGGACCCGGAGCAGGGCATGGCACGGGGTGGAAAAGTTGATTGTTCTGTTTTGTTTCGGCAGTTTCAAGTGCAGGTCAAAGTCGGGCTCCTAAAATGTGGCAATTTCGAGTGAATCCTTGAAAGCAACAAAGCCGGAGTTCAATTGAGCCGTTGGTTTGGAAATACACAAATTTTAAACAGTTAAATATATAAAATTGTGTTAAAAAGGGATATTATATACAGAAAATAGGAAAATGGTAGATATTTAATAAGGAAATTACATTTAAATCTTTAAATGCTAATAAACAGCTAGCTTTCTGATTTAATTAAACTAAAATGACTTAACAATTTGTAAAAATGAATTGCAATTAGCTTTTATCATTAAAGGGACAACCAATTAGCAAAATATAAATTCCCAAATGCTTGTTTCCCATAGAACAAATTATACAAATTATATTCAGTAAAGTTTTTACTGCAATCGATTTTTCAAATATTTTGCTAGCTCTGCTACATTAAAGTAAACCATTAAAGCCCGGTCCCATAAAATTCTCCCTCTGGCTTAAATAAAGGCAACATTTATGTGTATATATAGCCATATCTGACTATATGTATTTGTCGGTATATATATAGACTCCTCTTTATTTATACAAAACGTAAACATTAATGTCCGCGCTCCCATGGCCAGCCATGCCCTTGGGGGCGAAAAAGCCAAAAACCCACACAGCAGACTGAAAACGAAACCGGACTCCGGCTCCAGCTACAGCTCCACCTATAGCTCCTGCTCCTGCTACGTGGGCTATAAACAAGGACACGTACGCAATTAATTGCAGAATTATTACAAATTTCATTACATGCTAAAATATGCAAATTGTTTGACGTTGCCTCGCCTGCTGCAGCAGCAGCAGCTCCTCCTCCTCGCTCCCTCCTTACCCGTCTCTGGCTCCCTCCGCGTTGCAATTAAATGCATTTGCATACATAATAAATAAATAATGCAGATGCAACATTGCGGCATTAACTTTGCCGCTGATGTGCGAAAAATGAAAGAGGGCGAAATTTTCTTTTAATTATCATTTTAATGTGTTTATGAACATTTAGAATAGTAAGCGAAAATTGCTCCCTAAATTGCCGGTCGGTGCCTGGGCCAGCGAGGGAGCGGGTGGGTTGCATTCTCAGGTGGGGGCTGCTGGTGTGTCAAGGGAGGAGGGACAGCTGCATTCGTTTGCACTGAACTGCCATAAAATGGCAACATTTTGCACGCAGCTGTCGCCGACGAGGGGCGTTCGAGTGGTTCGAATCGAGCCCGAGACTGGGTTTTAGCCCGTCTCGCCCTGACTACTCGCTGCACTGGAAAAATGTCGTGGTAATTAATATATTTATATATAAAAAATAATATAATATATAAAATATATATATTAATATGATTTTATACTTACTGGAGCTACAGTTTCAATCTCTTTTTAACGTAAAATTTTCACTTAAATAATTTGAAAAATTTACAAAATAATATAGATAGTTGAAGAAATAATAGAAACACTGAGCCTTACCCAGGCATAAATAAATATATTCCACGAAATTTTCAACAATATTTCCTTAAAACCCAGCGTTTTCTTTCAGTGTTCTGTCGCTCACTCTGCTGCAAATTGTTTGCAGCCCGTCTACATAAGTGTTGCATGTCTACAAAATATTTGGGTTAAAAACATTTGCACAGAGCCGGAAAAAAGAATATATTTTTATTTGCATGATTGCACAGTAGACAAGGTAGACAGAGGGGGCAGGTGGATGTGGATATGGATGGGGAGTACTAGTGGAAGTTGAAGTGGAAGTTGAAGTGGAGGTGGACAGCAGACATCCGACCCATCAAGCTCGGGAAGTATTGGATACGGACTGGTTGAACTGGGACTTGGACTCGATCACATCTGAGTAGATGGCTTTGGAGAGGATGGACTGGGACTTGGGCTTGCTCAGTTCTGAGTACATAGATGCTGAGCGGATGGACTGCGGCTTGGACTTGGTTCCTTCAGAATAGATCGAGTCAGATCGAAGTGTTGGGGCGTCTTTGCTATTGACCGACAACCTTTCAGTGGAGTAGTTGACCTCTTTGTTAAACTTGATTGAGGTATTGGCCATATTTTCCTCCGATTCCGCCTCGTTGACCCATTGGGGTCGTCGGGTGCGCTCTGTGCTCTCGGGCTTCCGCTCAGCAAATCCATGAACACGTACCGGCGGCGAGAGGAAGAACTCCGACTGCTGGGACTGTTCACCTGACAAGCGCTTGCTGATGATGCTCACTCGTTTAGACGACAAGCGACTAAGTATACTACGAGACTCTTTCGGCGGCATTTCAGGCGGCTCTATTTCAGGCGCCGGTGGCTCAGAACGCGCAGTGAAGACTGAGGCGCAATCAGGGCCGCCACGTTCACTTCCCGGGCAGGTGAGCCTGGATCGATGCGCCTCGATCTCCGCTTCGTCCAGGCGCCCGAACTCACAGTACAGCTCGTCCAGCTTCCGTTGCAGGCAGTTTCGCCTGCTGTTCTGCCGGCAGAGCAGCTCTTCGAGCTCTAGGATGCGCTGCGCCTGGGTCTCGATCACCTTGCCCAGTTCGCGGCGCACCTGCTGCTCGCATTCGCAGCCGCATGGCGGCTGGTCAGAGTACACGGGCTCAGACTTTGGGCAGCATTCCGGCTGGCAGCAAGGTTCCGGATCCGGATTACCGCAGGGCTTACTGCATTGCTCGCACTTGCAAGGACACACACCCGTCTCGTGCTGGCCGCGGCCCAAGAGCAGGACGTCCGTGCAGCCGGGCAGGCAGCAGCTGCGACGCCTGCAAAGAAAATGTTAAAATTTATTACAAATTTAAAAAATTCCAAAGGAATTGTCTTAGTCAAAAATAATTTTAAAATGCGACCGAAAATTCAAGTTTCTGCATCAATCGCCGTCTGAATTGGCTTTTATGGAAATTCAGTTACGCATTTATAAATATAGCACGCGGAAAACTAGTTTGATCGGTTATTGGCAAAGTAAAACAAGTTTTCAGAACTTCTCGGCCACGGAATACCTAATCTCAGACAAAAGACACTGAAATGTGTTACAAAAAATTAAGGCTAGGTAGATTTTTCATAAAAAAACAAACTGGACTTAGAGCGTCCTTCAGCTATTTAATACTTGAATTTTTAACCTAACTCTAAGCTAGCTCTAGTGAACAATACAAAGTAGATCCTTTGATCCCACCTGCAATTGTAATCCTCATCCGGTTTCTGCCCCTCTAGCAGCTCCTCTTGCAGCCGTTTTAGCTCATCCTCCTCCTGCGTTGGCGCGCGCATCAGGGTAACCTCTGTGCCGTCAATATCCGGACATTTGCCGCCGCTATCCTGGAAGGCCGACTCTTGCACATAGATCTCCGTCTTCGACTCCTTGGTTTTTATCCTTTTGGTCTGCCCTCCCTTATAGTCGCCTTTCTCCGCCGGTCGCGAGTCCACGCAGGAACCCTTACCCTCGGCGCAGTAGGTAGGCAGCGAGGATCCGTTCAGTAGCAGGACACTAACAGTGGGTTTTTCCCGATCCTCAGCGGGTTCCCCGATATCCGGACACTGGACGCACTCGTCAGCCGCCTCCCCCTTTTCCTTCTCCTTCTTCTTCGCCGCCGCCAGCTTCGCTTCCTTTCGCTTCTCCTCCTGGGCGCTCAGCTCGTTACCAATGGCCTTGGCCCGGCTCACAAAGTCGGGGATATGCTGCACGCAGACGCAGCACTCCTTCTGTATGCTCTGCACGCAGCAGTCCTTGGCGGCCATGCTGGCCTGCCAGATGCGGGCCTCCTCCTCGTTCTTGGGATACGCATACGCATTGTTGCCCTGGGCATCCTTCACCGGCGGCCTCTCGCCACAGATGACACAGCGCCTCATTGTCATTGTCAGGGAGAGTATATGGAGTTTCGGAATTTGTAAGGTTTTAAATAGGGTCAATTTTGAAGGAATTTGTAGAGTTAAAAATTCTTAAAGTTGATATTTTAGATGGTTGAAGCAAGGGATACTTTGGGAAGGTGTTATTTCAATTCTTATCAAAAACGTTTGAAAGATGTTTATTATTTTTTTTTTTTATTTTGAAAGAAATGGATCGTGCCGCAATCAATGTGGCTTGTGTAATTGTTTTCCTTTTGGGTATTTTTTTTTTGTACTGTCATTTTTCGTTCGCTTTGACTGCACTTTTGAGCAACTTTGTGTGTTACGAGCATAACAACGCACCTTGCGGTTTTTGCGGCAAGTGAATTGGGCTGTGAAAGCCAAACGCGCGCTCAGCAAGCCGGGATTGGAGTGAATTGGAGTGAACGGGCGGCGTTATGGGGTGGGAATGATTTCGAAACCGCTGCCGGCTGCACTTCACGTCTGGTATGGTCCGGGTCTGGTCTCAGGGGCTCTCAGAAAATAACAAAAAAAAAAAAAAAAATCCATAGAGAACGAACGGCTTCAACTGACGACTGACTCTGGTATGCGGCGGATAAAGTGGAGCAGCCACGGCGTTTGCTATGCTGAAAACGCATTAAAATCAATTGATTGCGGTGGAAAACACATCAAATATGTGAAGAATCCAGATCAGTAATCATTAATCAGTGAAAAATAAAATCATTTTGTACATTAAATTGTCTAAAAATTTTTATAATAATGCTTCAATTTATCTGCTCTTACTTATTGATCAAAGCAGGTGAAATCAAAAAGAAATAAAAGAAATTTAATTACGAAAAGTTCTCATTTTAGAGCTGTATTATCTGTTCTCAGGGATCTGACTGTTCTCACTATTTGATCGAAGCAAATGAGAACAGTGCCCGCGGCTAAGAACGCATTTGGACGAATGTTGTTCAACATCCTCGATAGTATAGTGGTTAGTATCCCCGCCTGTCACGCGGGAGACCGGGGTTCAATTCCCCGTCGGGGAGAGATGTGAAAACATTTTTTTTGTTTTTTATATTTATGTATTTATTTTAGTATTCTTCTTCATATTTATTTTTGTATGTAATGTATTATTTGACCATTATGCGGTCTCTTAACAAATGTTGAAATTCCGAATGGTCAAAGCCATTCAATTCCCTGCGGAATATAGCCACACAAACGCTAAACTGCCAGAAAGTCGCGCCCACATCCACTAAATAATACTGAAAAAAAAGACAAAAATCGAACAAAAAGTGCGTATCGATTCAGTCAAGCCCAGAAATCTGCGCAAAACCGCAAAACAATAGCCGGCGAGGGGAAAAATCTATGTCAACCAACCAATCTCTCCCCAGCTAAATCGGCCAACGGCCAGTGGACCACAAAAATCACGTTATTTCAATTTGAATGCCAAACAATCGCCCGAGCTCGGGCATGGGCACTATCAGAAATGGGTCTCTATCTCTGGCCTAGTTTGGCATTCTTCAAATGCCTTTTCTGTGGGTTAACGCCCACGGCAAAAATTTGAATAATCTGCTGCCGTAATATCGCCAATTTATCACTGGCCATTGGAGCGACGCTCTCCCGGACCCCAAAAATCCAGGCAGACCGCCAACTCTACTCGTAAAACGAAAGCAAATGTGGGCAGTTCACATTTCACTTTCGTTGGGAGTCGGAGTCGGAAGGGAGGAACTGCTGTATAACATACTACATGCCCGGGCAGACGCCTCTGCTCTATCGGGTTTTCCAATTTATCAATGGCAGCACGGAGGCGCTGTTAATGAAGAATTATGCTCATAATTTCCAAATTTATTGTCGCACATCTTCGCCCGACCGAGCTGAGGATCGCATCGGATCGGATCGGCGCTGATGATGGGGGCTGCCATACACTTGAGTGTGTCAAAATGTTGTAGCTGTCATGTGGCATATGGGTCCAATGTTCCCCCGATGGAACCATCATCGTGTCAGTTACACAGACACTTTTCAAATATTTATGGTGCGTCTAGCGCGACACACACACTCCACTCCGGGGCCCTTCGATAGCTCCGAGTTCACGGTTCACAGTTCAAAAAGTCATTTCAAGTTTCTCGTTACGGATTCCAGTGAAAGTTTTCCCTGTTCTCCCCCTTTCCCCGATTTTTGTGCGGTGGGTTTTTCTCGGCTATTAATTTTCACTTAGTCAGCGTCAGCGTTCTTGGGAAAGTATTCAATTTCCACTCAATCCTTTAAATCGAAACAGATGCCAAAACATTTTCATTTTGCCATTGGCAACGGTTTTTAAGTGGATTTAATTTGTTTCAGATTTTTCCCGCCCTCCGCCCCTGCTCCATCACTATTTTTAGGTTCTCATTTTTTCGCTGACTCTCTCTCTAATTTAGTGTTCGGCTTGAATGAATTTTCGGGCTATGCGCCTAGTGCCCAGTATATAGCTTTAAGTGCTCATGAGAGAGTGGAAAATTTATGTGACAGCTTATTAAATTTATATGTTTGCTCTTTATTACAGATTATACCAGAGGAGCCGGGCCAGCGAGTGATTGGATACACATGTGTTCGCGGGTAAGTGCTTGGCCGAATGGCCCTCGATGTATTGGCTTAAATGGCTTTAAAACGGGAGCTTAGGTTAAGTCGGCATGATCTCGACCATGTGTCTTGTTGGAAATTGTGATCTATTTTGGATAAAAGGAAATTTAGTTGGTAGATCTAGGAACTTTTAGAGAGAGGGAAAACTAGAAACCATGTCGGGGAAATCTAGTTTTTTTATACTTATAAAAACTTTAGAAACTCTTATAAACTGTCAATGAATATAGCGAATAAATTATATTAAATATTTCATTTGCTGACAACCAAAAGAAATTCTTAAACTTCCTTCATTTTGTTCAATTTTCTGTTTGCTTGATGTTTCCCCTGTAATTAAGACCCTCAATTTTTGGTTAGTGTGCCGTCTGCTTAGTATTCAAGTGCTCCAAAGCCGTCTCTCAAGCACCTCCTAACTTGGCCACAAGCCCACTGCTAACCCCATTCAATCGGCGCTTAAATCAACCGGACCTCCGCCCACCTGTCAACTCTGTCCGTTCGCACCTTCGGCTTGCGGGATAACTCAACTTGGCTGAGTCCGGCTTAACTCAGTGCAATCGCTTTGTGTCGGCCCAAAACTGCAGCGAACTTGATGTGAAAATTCACACTATTCAACACACAAAAAATGTCGAGCCTCGCGTGTGTGTCGCCCGAAAAATCGTTGGGGCTGGCACTTCATTAAATAGACGCCGTGGCGGCGCTTTTCCGCACACAAACAACACCAAAAAAAATCAAGAAAAGCCCCGAATGGGGGGGAAAAAGAGGCAAGAAAAAATCGGCAGAAAAATTCGTGGATGTCGCTGGAGTTGACGACCACACCCCCCACATTACTTGGACGCCCGGCTCGGAACTTGCTTATTTTTCACACATGCGCGTCAACAAAAACAGCAACAACGGCGGGGGGAACCGCAAGGGGAAAAATGTAAGCAACAAATTTGTTGCTTTTTTTGTTGTTGCCTTTTTTTCACATTGTTTATGATGACAATTCGCCGTGGTTGTTGTCGACATGTGGCCATAAAGTTGTCGGTAAATAACAAACAGGCCTCTCCTCTCATTCAGCCTTTTGCCTCAAAAAAAGAAAATACTGAAATGGCCTCTGTAAAATTTCAGAGCATCCTGAGAGGATTCCTTTCCCAGAAAATGCCCAAGTTAAAAGCAGCTCAATGCCAAAAGAATCTCATAAGTTGCAGACAGACAAAACACACCATTGAAGTCGAACTAAATATACATATATTATTTTTATATATATTACGATACAAGTTCAAGCTTTAAAGGCCAACAAATATTTTATTTAAGTCCCAAAGCTGCAGCTTTCACATATCAAATATATTTACCTTTTAGAAATACTTGTTTCGAAGCCAAAATAATTATTTTTAGCCCATCTACATGTCTGAGATCATCGGTATAAAACCGCAGCAAAATTATACATTTTGACACTGCCAAAACAATTATTTCGTATTTATTTTACCAAATGCTTGTAGGTCTGAGATCACCTCAGTTGTAAATTTAACCTGCACTTGACTAAGTGAAATGAATTATGGCGGCGACCTTCGGGTGCGACTCGATTCCAGATGGAAATAATTCCATAATTTGCTATGCTGATTACTTCCAGCCCGAGCTGACAACGCAATTTGTTTTCGAACATTCTTAACGTGTAATTGTCATGTTGTCGGGCAAACAATGGACCCAAAAAATGGGCACCCGAAAAGCGCGCTCGGGGAAAAACAAACAAATCCGCAAAACCGACTTGAGGCCCCACCCAAAAAGCGTCTATTGTTAGACTTTTTACCAACGGCTCCGCTTGGTTCGCATAAATAACCAGAAATTAGCGGGCAAATAAGTCAAGTGGCTGAATGAAAACTCGTTTTGGCATTGAAACACCTGCAAACTGATTCTTGGCATATGCCAAGTGCTAAATCACCTGCGCCAGACCGGGGCTAAAGTTGAACCAGCTAATTTGAATTTATAGACCGGAGATTCAAGCCGAGATGCGGCCCCTGATTTATGCCCGCCAGATTGTCACTGGGCGATAGAGAAAATGATATATATATAGATATCTCTTGGTGGTGTATGGAAGACGCGCTTCGATGGGAATTGTATGCAAATGCGATCCGCTTGATGGGCCGCAGATAAAGATGCGATGGCATTAGTGTTAGCAGAAGCCCTTAACAGGTGTACGCCGCTCGGAAGAGATCTGCCCTAGTGCCACCTGTTGAACGGATTTGTCATTGAATCGATACGATTGAAGGTAAACCGAAGATGATGACGTATTGTCCAGGCTTAACTCTGGGATTAGCCGGTGGGCTATTGAACTGCTGTGCCGAGCGGCGGAATCAATCAACCGAGATGCGAGGTAATTGGAGCTACCAAACAGCGGGGGTTATGGGCAGGCACGTCTAAATCACTCATAAAAAAGAAATTCATCTTCATAAAAACGAATAACATGAAAACCAGAAAAAAAACAAGTAAGGTTAAAAAAGGAAAACAAAAAGCGAGGCAGAGAAAGAAATAAAAACCGGCAGCGTACATCCAGCTGCGAGAGATAGTTTACTTGCGGTAATCACGCCAAAACCAATGCCCCTTTTGGGGCACTTGAAAATCTGTTGGAAATTTCTGATGTACACCACTTACAAGTGGATCTGGCGGCGGCCTTTTCCTTTCCTTTTCCCCCCACCGTTCCTTTTTTTTCCACCGAAAATTACATTTAATGTGTGTCTGAGATTTCGATAGAGGCGTGAACCTGTTGAAATTCGTCTGCAGCAGATACTTTCAAAAGTATCTTGTATCTTGTATCTCGTATCTGGTGGCTGGTGGCTGGTGTCTTGTGGTTGCCGTTCTGGGGCTTGGTGGAGAGGCAACGGCTCACCATTTGTTAGAACCTGTCGATTCGGATCCAGTTGGCAGCTCATCGACCCTAATCGTATTTGAAAGTTATCGTATCTACGAGCTGCCATCCAGGGCTATCTGTTAATTGTCAGAGACTTGGCTCTGGCTCGGCTTTCTTTCTTTTTTTTTTTTTTTTTGGTTAAAGTTGGCTAATTGCCATATTAACCTTTTGGCCCCCTGCGATGATGGCAATGATGATGATGGCGATGATGATAACCCAAGTCCGGCTGCGTGCTCGACTTGTAACTGCCTGCGCCTCCGACTCTGGCTTCGGCTTCGGCTTATTTGCAAGTTGGATTTGATGACGGCTGTGACTGTGGCCCTGGGTCCAGTGAAAGTAATTAGGGGCCCGAGGGTGAAAGCTGAGCTTTTAATTGCGTAGCTGTCGCTGCCCTGACCGCATAATCAATCAGCCGGCAATGTAATTGAGCCCTGCTTGCCGGAAAACGAAAGTGATCGGTAGGGTCAGGGGTCAAAGATCTTTTACACCGCAATCTTTGAATCACAAAAGCCTCAAAATCAGTTCTGAAGCTTAATAACAAGTCCAAAAATAAAATTTAGAACTAGAAGAATTCACTCAGATATACAGTTTGCACTCTCATAACCCTTTAGGTCTCGTTCTGCCCAATAATTACATATCCTGGAGAACAGAAAACAAAACAATAAATATAAGATATCCCTTGGCAATAATTATGCCTTCCAGAGAGATCCCCTAAAATGATCACAAGAGTTATATCCAAAATAAAGCTCTCACGCTCCCTCTACCTTAGGTACAGATCTCCCCCACTTGGTTACCAGTGCCGCTGCACTAAATCAACCCCCAGCATTCCAAAGTGTTTTGCGAAAACTGTGCCAAAGATCTCTTACTGCGATCTGCAGCGATCCTCCCTCCCTGCTGCCATGTCGATGGTATCGAGAAGTGACCCCATACCGACGCACAACTGGCGGATGGCAGCGATCCAGATCCGAGGAGATCACCGCGGAAAACAAAACCAAGTCAAGAAATGAACATCAAGCTGAGATGATTGTCATAATTAAGGATGTTGGATGTTGCCAGTTCGACGTTGGCATCTGCCAGACGCAATGGTTCGGTGCAGGGGCGATTCCCCAGCACTCGAGGCACTTGTAAAACCAACAGAAAACCGTAAGAACGAGTTATTCTTTCTTTTTTTTTTTTTGTGCTCTCTGCTGCTCTGCTTTTGATTCACAAAAGCCGAGGCTTCCGGTGAAGTTCAGGTTTCTCCCATCTCCATGTGTGCGTCGCTCGCCCGAGATCAGCCCGGCGTATCTCATAATTGCAGCTAAGCAAAATTATATAGCCCAAGTCGACTCAAGAGATCTGACGAGGAGGAGGGAGGGCACATGTATATATCGCAGCTCGTCTGTGCAAATATTTCCAGGCGATCGCTCCTCGGACTCCTCTGTGACTCTGCCACAACAATTACTGGCCGGCTCTTGCGGCAATCTCTGTGGCAGGCCAGGGTTAAAGAAAGGGGTCCACCGCAAGGGGTAGCCTGGCACTCGAGACAAATGTATATCATTCATCAAATTAAAAGTTCAACTGCATTGCAGCGTTTTGCCAGCCGGCTCTGGCTCTGGCTCGGCTCTGACTGCCTGTCTGCCAGCCGTGAGTTAAATTGATAAATGGGTTGACTCAAAACTTCTGACAGCGGGGAATGCCTCAGAGAGTGTCCCCTGAAAGATCAGGGGTCAACATGTGTTAACTAAAGGGGAAGTTGACATTTTAAGAGACAAGTTGGGAGTTAAGGGGGAGAAATCTCTTTGGAAACAGTCTTTGGTGGATTTACTTACCAGTTCCATTAAAAATAAAATATATATTTAATTTCTTCTTTTAAAATATATAAAACCTCTAAGAAAATATTTTTAAAATTCGGCTTTACTTACTTTCTTCATTCATTTTAAGATTTTCACCTTTTCTTCCCATATGTTTAATAACTCCCAACTGTAAAGGTAACCCTCGCTGCCCGTCAGCCAGCCTGGCTGTCATCTTGAACGTGCAACATGACCGCAGCTCCGAGGCAGCAACTGTTGCTCTATTTTACAGCCTGTTCTGCGGCGTTCTCTCCTCTCGCTCG